TTTCTTCTTAACTGCCTCCTGCCCTGGAATCGGTTTAGCCGGAGCGAGGGCTACACGGCAGGCAAAGCACCCTAAGTCTTGGGGTGTCCGGCGCGCTCCCGACGGCCCGTGAAAATCCGGGGGAGCGGTTCGTTCTCACGCCTGGTCGTACTCATAACCGCATCAGGTCTCCAAGGTGAACAGCCTCTAGTCGATAGAGCAATGTAGGTAAGGGAAGTCGGCAAAATGGTTCCGCAACCTCGGGAGAAGGAATGGCTCTGAAGGCTGGGCGCAGGGGTCCTAGGCTCGAGGCCGGCTGGCTGCGCGGGGACTACGGCCTCACGGCTGCGGATCCCGCGCGGCCGTCCGGCGGACGGCCTAGGAGCGCTCCGGCTCTCCCTGCGCGACGAACAGCCGCTTCAGAACTGGCGCGGACAAGGGGAATCCGACTGTTTAATTAAAACAAAGCATTGCGATGGCCCGCGAGGGTGCTGACGCAATGTGATTTCTGCCCAGTGCTCTGAATGTCAAAGTGAAGAAATTCAACCAAGCGCGGGTAAACGGCGGGAGTAACTATGACTCTCTTAAGGTAGCCAAATGCCTCGTCATCCAATTAGTGACGCGCATGAATGGATTCGTGAGATTCCCACTGTCCCTATCTACTGTCTAGCGAAACCACAGCCAAGGGAACGGGCTTGGAAGAATCAGCGGGGAAAGAAGACCCTGTTGAGCTTGACTCTAGTCTGTTACTGTGGAACGACTTGATGGGTGTAGAATATGCGGGAGGGGCAACCCGACAGTGAAATACCGCAACCGTCAACGTTGTTTTACTTACTCGGTGGCGCGGAGGGAGGCTCGCCTCACTTCTGGATCCAAGCCGCTTCGTGCGCGCGATCCGCGTCGGGGACACTAACAGGTGGGGAGTTTGGCTGGGGCGGCACGTCTGTTAAAAAATAACGCAGGCGCCCGATTTTGAGCTCAATGAGAACAGAAATCTCATGTGGACCGAAAGGGGAAAAGCTCGGTTGATTTTGATTTTCAGTACGAATACAAACCGCGAAAGCGTGGCCTATCGATCCTCTCGTCTTTGGGAATTTCAAGCTAGAGGTGTCAGAAAAGTTACCACAGGGATAACTGGCTTGTGGCTGCCAAGCGTTCATAGCGACGTAGCTTTTTGATCCTTCGATGTCGGCTCTTCCTATCACTGCCTCGCAGCGGGGGCCAAATGCAGGATTGTTCACCCACCAACAGGGAACGTGAGCTGGGTTTAGACCGTCGTGAGACAGGTTAGTTTTACCCTACTGCTGTCTGTTTTTCTACGGTAATTTGGTTCAGTACGAGAGGAACCACCAATTCGCATCATCGGTATAGCCGCCGCCGGAAACGGCGATGCGGCGAAGCTGCCATGCGCCGGATTATAACTGAACGCCTCTAAGTTAGAATCCATGCCGGAAGGAAAGCCACCTACCGGCCCGGGGACGCCACGAGCAACGGTAGCACTGCCTGAGCCGCGAGCGACCACAATTCACGGACCCGGGCCGACGAATCCCTTGCAGACGACTTGAATAAGGAACGGGGTATTGTACGCGGCAGAGTGGCCTTGTTGCCACGATCCGCTGAGATTCAGCCTTGGTTCTGACGATTTGTTGCGCGCGCGCAACAACCCTCTCAGGGCCTCTCCCGTTCCTCAGTCGCTCTCTCGGCGCTCTCCCCCTCTCGCCTCTCCGAGCCTCACTCGCTCGGGGGCGGAGCCGAGGGGGCGAGAGCGCGATTTCTGCCCAAGGCAGCGCGCAGGCCACTGCGCAGATACACCCGGCTCTCCCCGAGCCGCCACTGGGCGCTCCCGCGGTCCCCTCCGGGCTGAATGCAGCCTCCGGAGCGGGCGGCGCGAGCGTCTAAGTCTACTCAGAGCCTTCCACGCTCTTCTTTGCGTTCCGAAGCACACACCGCGCTCCTCTGTAGTGCATCGCCCGGCCAACTCGCTTGCCACTGTCATTGCCCCCGCCGCCCTCTCACTGTGGCCGCCCTGTACCGTTACCTCCACCGCCCTCGCCCTCGCCACCGCCCCCACGCCGCCGCTACCATTCCGGCCATCGCCGCCCCCACCCTCATCCCCACCTTGCCCCCGCCGCCCGTTGCAGCTGCAATCCCCACCGAAGGCGGACGCCGGTGCCGCCCTCGAGCTCGACGCCCCTTCGTGCTTCGCCGCCCGGCGCGGTCCCATCCGGGCTGAATGCGGCCTCCAATCTCGTGTCGGCCTGCCGCCGCCCTCGCCTTCAGCCGTCCCGCCACCCTCACCGCCACAGCCCTCCTCACCACCGTCTCCACCGCCGCTGCTCTCACCACCCTCGCCACCACCACCACGCCCGCCTCCCTCGCTGCCACCCACGCCGCCGCCACCGCCCCCACCCGCTCCGCTGCCCTCGCCCTTGCCGTCACCGCGCCGCGAGATCTCTTACACTATCCCCCGCCCTTGCCCCAGCCCTTGCCTGCCGCCGCCCTCGCCGCCGCCCTCGCCGCCGCCCTCGCCGCCCCCCTCGCCGCCGGGGCCCGCCCTCGCAGCCACGGCACCCTTGCCCCCTCCACCCTCCTCTCCGCCCCCGCCCCTGCCCCCGCTCGCCGTCGCCCTCCGCCGCCCCCCTCCCGCCCCGCCACCACCCTCCCCTCGGCCGCCCTCCGGCATGCCGCCGTTCTCGCCCTCGCCTCCGAGCCGCCCCGCTGCCCTCGCCACTGCCCCCGTCGCCGCCACCCCCGTCGCTGCCGCCCTCGCCGCCGACCTACCCCCCTTGCCGTCTCCACCACCGTCATCCCCACCATCGGTTCTAACTTCTACTCAACTGCGACTACTTTATACTCTATGCGCCGAGAGAGGTACGAATATCTCTCGAAAAACGATATCTATACCACACGAAAAAGGCTAGAGAAGTGGAGTGCTACACGATGTTAAGGCGTACGGGGTGAGGCCCTGAGCGCGCGGCACCCCCGCCCCCCACGCCCCAGGACAATGTATATGTTGCCAAAGATAGACGAGCCCCAAAAGCACTCGAGAGACTTCACTTACCGTGTGTGCGCTCGCGACCACTACTGACGCAGAGCGACACCCAATCACACAATGCACAACCCAGGGCCCGAAATGCGACAAAACCACGCAAAAAACGCGCACCAAATGAACGTACTTGCGCACGTGGCGCGTGATCGCAGCCGACCGACGCGGGGCCTGTGCGCCCGCAGCGCTAACGCCGCAATCATGACTCAACACGAGCTCCCCGTTAGTCCAACATTTGCGGCGAGGCTGGCGGCGACGCGCGGCAGCGGGGGCAGCTGCACATGCCGGGAGGCCCGTCGTGCAGCTCCACGGGGTCGTCCTCCACCTCGTCGTCGGTGTCGCTGTCCTCCTGGCCGCCCCCCAACGCCGGCATGGGCGCAAACAGGCCTCCGTCGCCCGGGCCCTCCTCCTCGCTCTCGCTGTCGAGCGCGATCGCCGTCGCGCCGCTCGAGCCAACCGCCTGTCGCCGCAGCGCCTTCGTCCGGCTCTCAGCGGCGGAGAGCGGCGCCTGCCCAAAGCGAGCCAGGGCCGCCGCCCGCGCCGCCTCCGCAGGCGTCGCATGCGCCGCCTGCATGCCCGTCACGGACGCGTCACGGACGATACGCGGACACTGTCGCGGACGTTGGGGGCGGGTGCCTGCTCCGCGGCCAGCCGCTTCCCCTCCGTCGTGCGGCGGTCGATCATCTTTTGCTTCTTGCCCAGCGGCCGCCGCCGCTGCGGCGGCTGCTGCGCGTGCCGAGCCGAGGACGAGGAGCCGCCGCCGCCGCGCCGCTTGCGCCCGGCGCCGCGCCGACCGCTGGAGCCCTTGCGGGTCTTGCAGCCGCCCTCGACGAGGTCCGACTCGCCCTCGCCGCCGCCGTCGCCGCCGCCCACTGCAGCACTGCTAGAGGCGCCGCCGCCTCCGCCTCCGCCGCCGCCTCCTCCGCCGCCTCCTTCTTCGCCGCCGCGTCCGCCGCCTCCGCCCAAGGCAGCGGCTTCGGGGTCGACGATCGTGCCGTCGGCAACGAAGCCGCGGTGCTGCTGTCGGACGACGCGCAGCTCGTCGTAAAACTCTGGCGGGTGGATGTCCTGTCGGGGCCGAGTGGTGCCCTCAGGCCGTCGCTGCGGAAGTGCGTGCGTGTGCGTGCGTGTGTGTGCGTGTGTGCATGTGTGCGTGCGTGCGTGCGTGCGTGTGTGTGTGTGTGTGTGCGTGTGTGTGTGTGTTGATTGTGTGTGTGTGTGTGTGTGTGTGTGTGTGTGTGTGTGTGTGTGTGTGTGTGTCTGTCTGTCTGTCTGTCCGGTGTCCGCCTCGAGGCCGTGGCCCGAGATGTGCGTGATCTCGTGGAGCATCACGGCGAGCAGCCGGCCAAACGGGAGGAAGACGTTGCAGCGCGCGTCTCCTGCCAGGCGGACCCACCATGGGTGAAACGCGGTTGTGGAGATTACCCCTGGCAAGGCTTTCTCAGGCACACTCCTGCGACGGCGCGCAGGCGGATCGAGATGTCCGCCGTGCCTTGCAGGTCGTGGTAGCACATGCCGCCGGGGCCGCGGCCATTGTGCTCGTGCAAGTGCTTGACGCGCCACCCGCGCCGCCGCAGGATTGGGTCGACGTGCAGCTTCAGCCGCTGCAGCAGCCCCCGCGCCGCCGGGATGGAGTCGCGGTCGACGCCACTGTGGCCGAGCGCGTTGAGCGGCACACACCACCTGCGCCAGCCGCATGGGTCCTCAGAGCTGTTGCCGCCGGTCCCGGTGGACCCGCAACATAAAAAGGAAACGCACCAGACATTGCAAAACTCTGTCGTTCCAAACAGCCGGTGGATGCCCTGCCGCTTGTCGTCGCCAACGCGTGGCTCGGCACCGTCGCGCGGTTCAATCGCGTCGGTCAAGTTGGTGAATCGAGCTCCCGCCATGTCGGTTGCAGCGCAGGCGACGGCTGCCTTCAGGCTGTGCTTGCTGCGCAGCGAGCGCGCGAGAAGAGATTTTTCTTTTTATTCTTTTGTTTTTATTCTTTAAGCCGCGTGCGCGATTTCTTCTTGATCACGCTCCGCCGTGCCCCGGGGGGGTGGCATCACGTGCAGCTTGTGCGGCGCAGCCTGCTCCTGGCGCAAACGTGGTAGCAAGATCGTGGCGCGATGCACTTCTGCCCGCACTGCGGCAGCATGCTCCAGCTTGAGGTGCGAGCTTCCACCTCGGCCCCGCCTCTATCCGGCCCGCCACTCAGACTGTCACTCTGCTTTCAGAGCATCAGCGATCGGCTTCGCTTCTTCTGCCAGACGTGCCCGTACGTCCATCAGCTCACGACCAGGGTGCGCCCACTCGCAGCCGCGCTAGGACGACCCGTGCGATACTCCCGGCCGCACCGGGAAGAGCCACCGTCGCTGTGCCTCCGCCGGCTGCTGAGGGCGCTCCTCCCGCGTATCTCAGGTCAAGTCGGAGATGCTGCTCGACCGGAAGGAGGTGGACGATGTGCTGGGCGGGCCGGACGCGTGGAAGAATGCGGACCAGGCTGACGGTGAGCCAGATCGCACACTTTCTCTCTCCTCGCCCGCGCTGGCTCATCCCTCCCCTCGCCCCGCAGCTTCCTGTCCGCGGTGTAGTCATCACCGCGCCTACTACCAGCAGCTGCAGATCCGCTCGGCCGACGAACCGATGACAACCTTCTACAAGTGTGTCGAATGCGGGCACCGATGGCGTGAAGACTGATCACATTGTCAAAAACATTTTGGGGTGTCGAGGGCAGGGGGTGTCTCGAGTCTCGCGGTGAGTCTGAGTGCAGATGCTCTTTTTGTTTTGGCTCTGCATGTGAAAACCCCCTTGGCCGAACCTGGAGGCCAGAACAGTTTTATGATAGCTGCTCTCGCAAGACAGCCGCGGTGGCGTTGCCGCCCGCGCGCGCCGCCAGCTGGAGGAGCGCGTCGTACCACGGGGCGAAGGCGCGGTCGAGGCGGGGCCGATCATACGAGGGCGACACCGCTCTGTTGCGGTACTGCTTCCTGTGCGCCATCCTCTCCGGCCTATGGGACACGTCGTGGACTCGTCGTGGACGCGGACGCCTCTCTCCCGCCCCGCGGGCCGTCCTCCCTCCCGCGCCTGTCGACGGGGCGGTCGCCCCGCGCGCCGCTGCAGTCGGCGCCCCTGGGGCGCAGCCCGAAGGTGGCCGCGCCGAGCACGCACGTGCAGTCGGCGGGCGTGCCGCTCGCGTAGAGGGCCTCGTACCGCAGCACTGTCCAGCGGACCGACGGCGAGGGGGGGAGGCGGCGCAAGTAGAGCGCGAGCTGGTACACCGGCACGCTCTCCGCCGCATACTGGAAGCGGCGAAGCGAGAAGCAGCGCCGCACCACACCCTCGAGCGCCGGGGCGTCCATCGTGAGCGCACGCTGCGGCGGCGGCGCGCACTCCTCCATCCGCCTCAGCTCGGCGGTGATCACCTCTGTAAAGGTGGCGTTGTCGTGCTGCGTGTCCTGCCCCCAGCCGCGCTGGCACGCACGGTCCTTCCAAGGCATCACCAGCGCCGCCAGCCTCTCCACCACCGCCGCCTCGGGCCTCTCCCGCCCGCCCGGCCACACGAGCCACGCAAGCGCGCTCCGGTTCACCTCGCCCTCCGCCGTCAGCGTGCCAGGGAAGGCCGCGCCGATGGCGGCCGCCGCGGCGCGAAACTCCTTGTGGAAGAGGCCTGGGCGTGACGGAAGGAGGCCCAGATGGAAAAGGCCTGGGCGTGCCCCTGCCCCCCCTGCTGCCCCCCTCCCTCGCAAGACTCCTGCCCCCCGCCGCAGCCAGCCCACGTCGTCCATGCAGACGCCGCTGAACGGCGGCGGGCAGGAGGACTCCATCGGCGTCACGCAGAAGCGGCGGAGGTTGGAGAGGCCTGCTCACAACCGCCACGCGTGAAGAGCCGCCCGGCGGGTGTCCATGGAGACGACGGCAGGATGGCGGCGCCGGAGCAGGCGCGCCGCGTGCGCAGTGCCGCGAGCACCTTAGACAGACGGGCGGCCGAGGTGCAAGCCGAGGCGTGTGAGGGGGCGCGTCTCTACACCGGCGCGACGAGCCGAGGACGAGTCGCGTGCAAACATGCAGTACCTGCGGCGCAAAGAGGCATCATGTGCGCACGTGGTGTGTTACGTAGCGAGGCTCCTCTGTGTCAGCTGTGGCGGGGCGTGTGATGCCAGTGAGCGGCTGATCGAGACGCACTCGGAGAAGGCGCGATCGACCGGGTCGCGAAGAACAAGCACGAGGTGGAGCGGGCGGCCTCCGCCTCCGTACACCGAATGCACGATCGGTAGCGTCTGGAACGCCCACGCAAGGTAGTTTGGCGTGAAGTCGAGCACCCGGTCGTAGTCGCCTCGCTGCCGCGGCCACGAGCGGACGGAAAAGTCGTCCAGCAGCGGGAAGAAGATGCGCGGCTCCTTGTTGCGTTCGCCGCGGCAGCACACGTTGTCGACGAAGCGGCGAGGGTCGGTGAGACACGCGTGCAGGCTGGTCGTGCCGGCTTTTGGCAGGCCGAGCAACACCGTGTCCGGTATCGCGCGGCGGGCGCAGTTCGGACAGGGCGCCATTTCGGACGAGCGTAGCTCACCGCTGGATTGTTGAGGTCCTGGGTTGGTGTCGGGCCTCTACCGTTGGTCGCCACCCGGTTGGTCGCCACCCAAACAAGAGACAGCTGCTGGGTTCCAACTTTTTCCGGGGTCTGGTGTCCATGCCAGCCTCCCGGAGACCGGGGATGGGCGGTCAGGACCATACCCCCCCACCCTTTGGGCCGCGAGAGTACCATACCATACCCCGGAAAAAGTTGGAACCCTGTGCCGCCCCCAGCCGCTTCACAGCGCTTGCTGGCTGTGGGAAGAGACCCACGAAGGAGAGCAGCGTGAGCGTCTGCAGCGACAGTAGCTCAAACTGCGCGCCCCTTCGGAGCCGGGCGCAGTGATGCTCTCGTCAAACGGGCGGTTGGCCTGTATCCATGTTTCCGGAAACCAAAAAGGAAACGAGAGGGTCCCCAGCACTTTGCGTTTCCGGAAATTTCCAGGAAAACTAGAGGGTGTTTGGTGCTCCATTCTGGCAACTCTCGAGTTTCCCTGAGTCTGAGAGCTGGTCTGGGGCAAAATCTGAGGCGAAACCGAGGAACTCGGCAAAATACCCAGCCGGTCGCAGCTCGCAGGGTAATTTCCAGGTATACCCCGGTATTTTGCCGCTTTGGCTGATTTTGGGCCCAAACCAGCTGATTTCCACGGAGTTTCCTCGGGAAACTAGAGAGGAAACGAGAGGGTGCTGTGGAGAAACACGGAAAGGAAACGAGACGGGGTGCGCGAGGAAACATGGATACAGCCTAAACGGGCGGCGGATCTCGGTCAAGCACCCACCTGGCGTTGGCCAGCGCCCCGCTCCCACAGCTACCAGGTTCCAAGGTGCGCGCGCGCTCCCGTTGTGAGCCCCGCCGCAAATGGCGTCGAAGACGGGGTTGTTCGGGTGAATACACCCTCACGCTATGCACTGTAGGCGCGATTACTCTCGTCTCTCCGCGCTGATAGCGGAGGTGTCGGGTACAGCACGGAGCACGCCGTCCTGTATTAGGCATTTAGGCTGTACCCATGTTTCCTCGCTCACCCCGTCTCGTTTCCTTTCCGTGTTTCTCTTACTACAGCACCCTCTCGTTACTCGTTTCCTCTCTAGTTTCCCGAGGAAACTCCGCGAAAATCGTCAATTTCACGGGCTCTGAGCCGAGTCTGAGGCCTGAGGGAGGGTGTAGAGGATGTAGAGTGTAGAGCGCTGTAGAGCTGTAGAGATGTAGAGTGCTGGAGAGCGCTGTAGAGCTGTAGAGCTCTACATCCGCCGCGTGACGAGGCGCCTGCGTTGTAGAGCGATGTAGAGGCGCTCTACAACGTGAAATCTCTACAACAAACTCTACATCATAAGCGGCGAACGAGGCACGGTCGCTCTCCGACATGAGGCGCGTTGCACTTGCCAGTGCTGCCCTGGCCTTCTGTCTGCCCGCCCAATGGGTGGCAGGTGCCTCTGCTGCTGTGGCATGCCTCACGGCTGCGACTGGCCGGCGCCTCGGCGCGTCAGCTCGGCTCGGCGTAGTGATAGTGGCCAGCGCAACTCGCCTGGACTCAACGCTCAGCCAGGAGCTCCCGCACGCGCTGGCGCGAGTCATGGCGCATGCAACGCGTCTGAATGCTCGCCTCGCCTCGCGCAAATGCGACCGTCCTCGCAGCCGACAGTCCACCGCCTGCTAAAGAAGCACAGCGACGAATGCGGCACCGGCGACACATGGCAGGCTGGTCATGACGCAGTTATAGGGTGTTGTGTGCCGTCAGAGGGACTCTCTGTGTGTCAGGGATAGTCAGGGCTGTCCATCAGAGCTTCACTAAGCTCGGAGACACCCCATTAGCGCGGCTCGACCTCTTTGAGTCACTGCCTTCCCGGCGGTTTGGCTGTAGACGGCCTCTACAACAAACTCTACAACAAAATCGCGCTCTACATCGCTCTACAACGCAGGCGCCTCGTCACGCGGCGGATGTAGAGCTCTACAGCTCTACAGCGCTCTCCAGCACTCTACATCTCTACAGCTCTACAGCGCTCTACACTCTACATCCTCTACACCCTCCCTCAGGTTTGGGCCCAAAATCAGCCGACTCGCTCGGCAAAATACCGGGTATTTTGCGGGTACCTGGAAAACCCCGGGTATACCTGGAAAATACCCGGTATTTTGCCGGTTTCCTCGGTTTCGCCTCAGATTTTGGCCCAGACCAGCTCTCAGACACAGGGAAACTCGAGAGTTGCCAGAATGGAGCACCAAACACCCTCTGGTTTCCCTGGAAATTTCCGGAAACGAAAAGTGCTGGCAGCTGGGGACCCTCTCGTTTCCTTTTTGGTTTCCGGAAACATGGGTACGCCAAGTCCTGTAGCCTGCACGCAGGCAGCACGCAGGTCACTCCAGGCACGCCAAAGAGCTCGACATGCGCTCTCGCGCTCCTTGTGGCTCGGCTCCACCATCCTCTGAACCTAATAATGCTTCGCTTCGACGGTGAGCGCCACCGTGCCCCACGCCCGCTTCGATCTCCGCAAGACCCGAGCCCCCGCGGGGACATAGCGTCTTTTACCAGACCATCACTGAGCCCGAGCGCGCGTTTCTTTGTTTAGCTGCGCCCCACCGCGTCGACAGCTTCGCGTGAGCCGGACGTGTCTAGCTCGCGCGATTCCAAATCAGCCTGCGTCGCTCGCATGAAGGTCAAGGCCATCTCGCGCGACCGGCGCGACTTCACGCGCGCGCGCGCCTCGGAGATTGTGCCGGTTCAGCGCTCGATGGCGCCGGAGCTGCACCCGTTCGAGAAGGCACGGGAGTACAAGCGCGCGGTGAACGCGGTCAAGCTCGACCGGCACTTTGCCAAGCCCTTCGTGGGCGCGCTCTCCGGCCACTTCGACGGCGTGCAGTCCATGGCGAAGAACCCGTCCTCACTTTCGATGATCGTCTCCGGCGCGTGCGACGGCGAGATCCGGCGGTGGTGTCTGACGGAGCAGCGGCAGGGCGCGCGGTGGACGTCGCAGGCGCATAGCGGCTTCGTGCGCGGGCTCGCCTTCTCGCGCAACGGCCACCACTTTGTCTCCGCCTCGGACGACAAGACCGTCAAGCTCTGGTCCGCGAGTGCGCCGGCCAGCTCGACCGAGCCGCTCGCCACATACCTCGGGCGGTGCGCCACCGCCGCCGCAGCAGCCGCAGCCGCAGCCACAGCCGCCACACCGCTGCCGCGGCCGCCGCACCGCCGCCGCGGCCGCCGCCGCAGCCACCGCCGTCTGCTAGCCTGCCGCGCTGCCGTGAGTAGCCGCACCCCGCGCCGCCGCCCGCCCCCGCAGGTACCCGTTCACCGGCGTGGACCACCACTGGAAGGACCACCTCTTCGCCACCTCGGGCGCGACCGTGCAGCTGTGGGACACCTCGCGCTCCGAGGCGCTCCCCAGACACTTCCGAGACACTTCCGAGACACACCTCCCAGACACCTCCCAGACACCCTCGCGCCTCAGAGGCGCTCAGAGCGGCTCCGCCGTCCGTCGAGGGCGGCGTAGCCTTGCGCGGACGCGTCCACGACGCGTCCATGACCTGTCCGCGCAGGCGCTCCAGTCGTTTGAGTGGGGCGCCGACACCGTCACGGCGGTCCGCTTCAACCCCGCGCAGCACTCGCTCCTCTGTTGCCTCTCCGCCGACCGCGGCGTCACGCTGTACGACGTCTCGAGCGGCTCGGCGCTTCTGCGGAGGGGGCACCGGCCGCCTCCCTGGGACGTGTCCGTGACGCGTCCGCCGATCTGCCGCCTCAGGCGCTGCAAAAGATGACGATGCAGACGCGCGCCAACGCGTGCTGCTGGAACCCGATGGAGCCGATGTGCGAAACTGCCCTGCGCCCTGCCCCTCTGCCTCGCCCGCTCCCCGCTTCCGAGAGGGGCAAGGGCGGGAGCCACCGCTTGACTCCGCCCGGGCTCTGCGCACGCGGTTCTGCGCCCGCGGTGCGAGACAGCCCCCCCCCCCCCCCCCCCCTTTTCCCAGGCACCTCACTCTCGCCTCCGAGGACCACGACCTGTACACCTTCGACATGCGCCGCCTCTCCCAGGCCATCTGCGTCCACTCGGGACACGTCTCCGCCGTCCTCGACCTCGACTACTCCCCGACCGGCACGCAGTTCGTCTCCGCCTCGTACGACAAGACGCTCCGCCTCTGGAACGTCGGCGCGCGCGGCACCCGCCCCGCCCGCCCGCAGCAGCGCTCTCGCTGCAGGCGCCGCCCGCGAGCCGTCCGCTCGAGCCGCCCGCGGCCGCCCCGCCGCGCAGGCGAGCAGAGCTGCTACAACGTCTACCACACCAAGCGGATGCAGCGCCTCTCGTGCGTGCAGTGGTCGATGGACGCCGCCTACCTGCTCTCCGGCTCGGACGACACGAACGTGCGGCTCTGGCGCGCCGTCGCCAACGAGCGCGGCGCGCCGCAGCTGGGCCGCGAGCAGCGCAAGCGCGAGTACGCCGCGGCGCTGGTCGAGAAGCACCAGCACTTGCCCGAGGTGCGCCGGATCAAGGCGCACACGCACCTGCCCAAGCGGGTGCTGAAGGCGGCGCTCGTCAAGAAGACAGTGCGCGGCACGCAGCAGAAGCGCGAGAAGAACCGGCGCGCGCACTCGGCGCCGGGGGCGGTGCCAAAGGTGCAGCGGAAGAAGAAGCAGGTGTGGAGCGTGCAGGAATGATGAGACTCTCGGGACGGTGACGATTCTCACTCGGTTGACTGTACGTGTCTGACTGTGCGCTACGTCGTACGCGTGGTAAGCTGGTAAGAGTGCCCCCCGGGCTATAGTATAGTCGCTGCCTTTGACCCCGAAAGAAAAAGAAAAAACTCGAGGAGCGACGAGACACGTCACACGAGTGCGTGGCGGATTATCTCACATTAATTAGTCCCAGCTAAATTTAATTATTAAGTCGTTCCTCTCTCTCCTGGCACCTTGCCCCGTCAGCGTCATCCACATCCTCTACCTCATCGCTCTCCTCGGCCTCGTTCTGCGACGACGCCGACGCCTGCCAGGCCCTTGCTCTCGCGGCTTCTCTCGCCTCTCGGCGTAATCCGCACGACCGGATTACTTTTTGTGGAGGATTTTACTAGTAAAATTTTCGCACGCAAATACTTTTTGCTTCGCGCCCTCTGCCGTTTGCATTGCAATGTCCTGCTGGTGGGTTTCTATGTTTGCGATTTGGAATTTGGTATTTGTCCAACTCTTTATTTTTTTCTAAAATTCTTTTTCTGTTGCCGCAATCCACTTGGGCATCAGCTTGGGCAGAGGTCCTCGGGGTGGGGAGAGAGGGAGCTCCCCTTTTCAGGCCCCGCCCAACCGCGCATTAACTCGCACCCCGTGTAGGGATCCTCCGTCCAGCTGAGCGTGATCCGTGAACACACAACCTCGAGCACACAACACGGCCGACAGGTCCGGTCCACCTCTCCAGCCTACCCCATACGCCGGGACACGAGTGAGCTCGCTGCTCCGCCTCAAAAGAATTCTTTTTTCGCTGTCAAAAAGTGTGTAGGGATCCTTTCGGCCCAATAGTGTAATTAATTAACGCAACACAGACAGTCCCGTGCCCAGTGTTGGTGGATGGTGCGAGCTCTCGTAAAATTCGGTTCGACTTTTTAGAATTCTTCTCGCCGTTAGAGAAGGCTTGTCTTTTAAGAATTCTTCTCGGGCCCCTCGTTCCTCTAGGCACTAGGGATCCTCATCAGTAATCGCCGAAAATCGACTTCGTGCCGAATCGCCGAATCGCCGAACATCGGGGGGGGTATCGGCGCGCCTGCTCTCGCGCGCAGCTGCTCTCTCGCGCGCGCCCTGCCCTCTCGCGCGCCTGAGCTCTCGCGCGCGCCTGCTCCTGCTCGCGCGTGCGGGGTGTGCCTGGTGCTGTCCGGGCCCGTTCTGCGTTCTGCGCGCCCTGCTCAGATGTCTAGGGCGCATTGCCGCAGGCAGCCATGATCGAGACGGATACGCTTCTCGTTGTTACCAAGACTACCAAGACGGCTGGACGAACTACCAAGAGTATGACGACTGCTCCTTCACATGTTACAACGGATACTAGAGGGGTTAGGGGCCTAGAGAACACAACCCCCTCTCCCTTTTCTCCCAGTCAGTAAGCTCAAAAGTACGTACGAGGGTTTTTGCTCAGGTTCCACACGCGTCCCACACTTCCACACGTGGGAGCCGGGACTCGTGGTGTGCGAGCCTCACGACCACACACCTACACGCTCAATCTGTGGGACCGACCCACACCGAGCATGACGGTGTGGGTCTGCGCCGGTGCGCCCCCGGCCGCCAGCCATCCCGATGGACCCCCCGCGCCCACTCCGCGCTCGGCAGCGCCTCTCATCTCACCGACAGGATCCCATCGACGTCGAGCCGCCGGAGGTGCTGCCGGCCGCCGGCCGCGAGGAGAAGCAGATCGCCGTCGCCGCCGCCGCCGCTGTCGCCGCCGCCGTCCAGCCCGCCGCCGCTGTCACCGCCTCCCCCCTCGCCGCCGCCGTCCTTGCCGCCGCCGCCGAGTTAAGTAAAAAATCTTTTCTCGTAAAATTCTTTTTCGCACGGCTCTGAAATTCTTTTTCGTTGCCGCCCTCCCCCGGTACGCTCCGCAATGAGACCCGCGGCCACAAAGACGCGGGCGATTGGCGACGACTCGCCGGCCGCCCACCTCGAGAATGAGAGCGGCGGAGGCGCCTCGCAGGAGCGCTCGCCGATCCCGGCAATGCTGCAGCGGCCGCGGAGCGGACGACGCGGCCGGTCCCTGCCCAGCGCGGTCGGTCCCGGCCGGCACCAGCCCGCCCGCCGAGAGAGCGCAGCCCCTGCACGGGCGGCGCGTAGGAGGTTCAGGGTGTGCGAGTGGATCCCGCCGATCGGCCGGCGCACCGCGGGTCGCCACCGCCGCGGCTCCGTGTATCGACCGCGCAAGACTCCAGGGCCGTGTGCGGGGATGAACTGGCCCGCTCGGCGGCTGTGGGCGCCGCCGTCGCGAGACCGCCGACGATCGAAGATCAAGATCAAGATGAAGATCCAAGATCAAGATCAAGATGCACGTCGACGCCGACCGGCATTCGAGAAGTTTCTGCAGTCGCCACCTCCAGTCTGCGCAAAAAAAAGCTCAATTTGCCTTGCCCCGCTGGCTTCACCACTCAGGCTGCTTGCCGTCCGAGCATGGGCGGCCCAGATTATCCCCGAAACGGGAAGGAGCTCCACCGCAAAGCTGAGACGTGGCAGCAGGTGACGTGCGATGAGCTCCGACTGGCGAGTTTCAAATTCAAAAAACGTTTCGACGCGCTGGAGCCATGGAAGCGAGCGGTGCAAGCGTACAAGGCGACCTACAAGCATCCGCAGTCCCTCGGTGGTGTTGCGACAAAGTTCCTTTTCATCCTTCGCCCGACGAGCGGCCCACCGCTCGGCTGCTGCGGCGTGAGTGTCCTGCTGCAAGTGCTCTCCGCTGATCTCGGAAACTACCCGCTCCTTTCAGAGCCGCTGCCGCCTCTGAGTGAGGCGGACCTCGACGCCGTGCAGCAATTTGCGACGTCCACGAGCGATGCGGAGCGGCGCCAATCTTGCGGGCACCATGGCGGGCACAAGCGCAAGGTGCCGTCGGGGCAGGTTTTTGCCCCAGCGCAGGACGCCTCCCTCTCGCGCTCAGGCGCGCACTCTTTGTTTTCGCTATTCAGGCGGCTGGCCCGACGACGCACCAGCGCACGCTGCATCCAGCCTCGGGCCTGGCGAAGCAGGTGCTGCTTTATTGTAATGTGCATCATATGTTATATCATATTGCCTATTGACGCCCCCGCGCTGCCTCCCACCGCACGCTCATCTGCCTCAAACTCGAAACCGGCTCGCCCCAACCCCACGAGCAGCACATCGCCGGCCGACGATCCCGAGACGAGCCCGCGCCCACTTCGCCACCTCCCTGGCCCAAACGGCCCTCGGCGGAGCCTCTCTGCCCCGCAAGCCCCGCAATGCCGCGTGTCACGTCGAGCGCCAGTGGAGCGCTCTGCGGAACAGCCATTGCGTGATGAAGCGACCACATGCCCCATTCCCACGAGCCGCACTTCGCTGGAGCCCAGAGACGCGTCCGCGCCACTTCGCCATCCTCCCTGCCCCAACGGCCCTCGGCGGAGCCTCTCTGCCCCGCAAGCCCCGCAATGCCGCGTGTCACGTCGAGCGCCAGTGGAGCGCTCTGCGGAACGGCCATTGCGTGATGAAGCGACCACATGCCCCATTCCCACGAGCCGCACTTCGCTGGAGCCCAGAGACGCGTCCGCGCCACTTCGCCATCCTCCCTGCCCCAACGGCCCCTCGGCGGAGCCTCTCTGCCCCGCAAGCCCCGCAATGCCGCGTGTCACGTCGAGCGCCAGTGGAGCGCTCTGCGGAACGGCCATTGCGTGATGAAGCGACCACATGCCCCATTCCCACGAGCCGCACTTCGCTGGAGCCCAGAGACGCGTCCGCGCCACTTCGCCATCCTCCCTGCCCCAAACGGCCCCTCGGAGGAGCCTCTCTGCCCCGCAAGCCCCGCAATGCCGCGGATCGCGGCGAGCGCCCGCGTCTCCGAGATCGACCGCCGGTGTCCTGTCTGCCAGCACACAACCGCCGCTGCCCCGGCCCGACCGCTCAGCAACCGCCTACGGCTGATGACGCGCTCTCCCGGCGCTGCTCCCCGCCCAAGAACGCCGCATATCCACCCTCCCCACGTCCCGAGCTCACCACTGGCGCGTGTCGCGTTCCCGAGTCACAATCTCCCTGCAGCACCTGCCCATTCCGCTCTGACAACACGACCCACGGCCCAACACACGTTCCGCTCTGACGACACGAACTACGGACCAGCACACGTCTCGTGGCACTCCTCCCGCCCGAGAGAGCCACCAATCCCACAAACCACTGCTACTCTAGGTTCTCAGCGCCAACGCCCTGCTGGCTCCTGCCGCTCCTCCCGCCGCCGCTCCTCTCGCCGCCGCTCATAGCGCCGCCGCTCCTCTCACCGCCGCTGCCCACGCCGCTGTCGCCGCCGCTGTCGCCGCTCCTCGCCCCGCCGCTCCTCCCGCCGCTCTCCCCGCCGCTGCTCCCGCCGCCGCTATCGCCGCCGCTTTCGCCGCCGCTCCTTCAGCCACTGCTCGCGTGGCCGCTCCTCCCGCCGCTCTCCCCGCCGCTCCTCCCGCCGACGCTCCTCCCGCCGCTCTCCCCGCCGCTCCTCTCGCCGCTCCTCCCGCCGCTCTCCCCGCCGCTCCTCTCACCGCCGCCGCTCTCGCCGCCGCTCTCGCCGCCGCTCCTCGCGCCGCTCCTCGCGCCGCTCCTCCCGCCGCTCCTCCCGTTGCTCTCGCCGCTGCTCCTCTCCCATTCTGCTGGGTTGGACAGGGCACCAACCACCAGCAGGAACTCGACGAGCAGAAACGGCGACGCGAGGACGAGCAGAAACGGCGACGCGAGGAGTACCTGCAAGACAAAGAGCTCTTCGCGGACCAGGGCATCCCACACGGCGGCGCAAAACTCAGCGTCGAAAACGTGCAGGAACTGCTGCAAAACCACCCGGCCAACACCGACCTCGGCGCCGCGCTGGTCCGGCTGCGAGACGCGCTCGAGGCGGTGGCGCGGCGGCAGGAGGAGCGCGCAGCGGAAGCATCGCTCCTGGAGAGCGTCAGCATCCCAGACGGCGGCGCAAAGCTCAGCCCCGCGAACGTGGCGCG